TCAGTCGCGCGCTCGCGACGACAGAGACGTATACGGCATATGGAGCTACGAAGAAGATGTTCGAGGCTTGCAGCTACAGGCGACTATAAGATTCCTCAGGCGTCGCAGGCCGGCGATTGTACCGAAGACGGCCAATGGTGAGGATCTAGGTGTAGGCGAGGGGGCGTGGTATAAAGGTTTGTTATTTTCTTTCAACCTTCCTTCGTCAGGATTTTGTTTGTGATGTATTTATGAAGAATATAAAAGTACCAAATACAACAATTCTACCCTTGCATAGCAGACAAAAACTAACGACATATAAAAAAATAAAACAGAACTTGGCCTCCTCCCGACCTTCTCCACCTGGTCCCAGATCACCTTCCTACACATGTACCTCCTAACCGTCCGCCTCCGAACCCTCCCCTCACCCGAGAGCTTCCGCACTTATTCCCAACACCTCCTTGACAACTTCTCCCACAACGCTGAACATCGCATGACTATCTACCACGGCATGACCATGCGCGGTATTCGCAACCGCTACCTCAAAGACCTGTTCATCCAATGGCGCGGCGTGTTGGCTGCATACGACCAAGGCCTAGTGTCCGGAGATGCAGTACTCGGGGCTGCTGTGTGGAGAAACATTTGGAAAGCGTCACATGTGGAACCGAAGGCGGCTGATGATGGGAATGCTCCGGGGGAGATGGATTGGAGGAAAGTGGCAGTTGTGGTTGGTTATATGAGGCGGGTGTTGGCGGAAATGGGTCGGGCGCCGGATGAGGGGTTGGTGGATTTGGTTATTGGGAAGAAGGCTTTTGGACTAAATCGGCAGGACTGGGGATTGGTTGGGACTGTGAGTCGGGGGATGAATGAGCCGTTTGGCTGACTGACTGAAGGAGAGAAAAAGGAATCATGAAGGGGGGTTGATGGTGTGTAATGTGATAAATCTTGTTATTTCCTTTGAGATGGGATCCTAAGGATTATTATATTTTGGGTTTGACCACTACTATACAATTCAGTATATATCATCTCTACATAATTTACATGGTATGAATGTTCGAAGCATCTTCTTAGAGGCATTGTAGTAATGGGGATAATGGCACAAATTGGTAAAACATGTAATCAGCTGTGGGCTCATTTTTGTATCTGTATCCTGTGCCAGAGGGTACACTAATTCCCCTTATCCCCAAACAGATCCTTCTTCAACAAACCTCTGCAGATGGGATGGTAGAAATTTTTGTTCTTCTCAAATATTTCAAGAGCGATGTTGCGATCAAATTTCTCTAGTGCGCGGTATCTTTGTGTGTTCGGAACCAAGTCAGCCTCGTGATAAACCAGACGATAGAGGTAGTGGTAGCTTTAAACAGTCCCTTACAATGGGCGGACCATTTTCATTCGTCCGATGCTTGCCAATAACACGGCAGTGGGCTCGACGACGGCCTTATCACCGGCCTTCAAGCCGACTTGGAAGTACAAGTTCAAAACTTCGGAATTCCTACTCTTCCCGAGCCCATATATATCGCCCATCAACCTCGACTGCTCTGCTGAAAGAGGCTTCTCAAATGAGATCACCTGCTCGAGGAATACTACCAGTTGGTTCGCGCTTAAGCCCTTAACATCAGCTGCGGTCGGAACAAATTCCGACTCGGGGGCGGTTCGCCATTTCTCTGCCAGGTCGTAAACGATGTCAACCAGTGAGGTGTCGAAGTCTGGTTTGGGTGGCAGTCCGGGGCTGTAGAACCATGTGTCCCAATCGAGGGAGGCGAGTAAGGCATGGTCTTCTGAATCATTTGAGAAGAAATCGAGCATGCTCGACTTGAATTCATACGAGTCAAGGGATAGCTCCTTGTATTTCGTAAAGTACTTTTGTAAAAAGAATTATCGTCAATATGCCAGTAGGTTTTACCAAAACTTAGCTGCAGGATCGAAGGGAGAACGTACGTGTGGGATAAACTTGTCAAATTTGGCTTTGCCAATGAGATTCTCAAGGTAGAACAAGAATATGAACCCCTTTTCATAGGGGATGCTGGAGAAAGCATCGTCTGGGTCCTTTCCTTTGAGGTCCACAATCAGCTTTGTGAACTCATGGTCATTGCCGAAACGTTCCACGGACTCAGTTAGGCTCTTCCATCCGATGATAGCGGAGAAATGGCGATAGGGCTCGCCGTGCCTGTTATTAACACATCAGTAATCCGGGGAAACCTCTTTATGGTTCGAATGACGACTCTTACACAGCAGCAAGGATCTAGAAAATGACAATTAGTTTCTCTGAATACAATATTGTAAGTTTACGCGGGCATCTTCGTTACCCTTCTTTCCAAGTAGGTTGTCCAGCCCTCGTTAAGCCAGAAATGTTCCCAAGAAGCATTCGTGACAAGGTTACCACTCCAACTGTGGGCGAGCTCATGGGCAATAACGTCAATGTTTTGTCGGTCCTAACAACAATGTGTCAATTGAAGCTTGGAAAAAGAAACAAATGAATCGATATCTTACTCCTGAGATCAAACTGGGAGTAGCGAATGTAAAAATCGGGTTCTCCATCCCTCCGTACGGGAAGCTTGGAGGCAAGATTAAAACATTATATTCCCCCCAGATATACGGGAAGATAATTTTCTATAGAACTTCGAAGTCAGTTTTTCGTTTTTGTTTCTCTCCTTTGCTGAAAAAAACCTAGAGATTTTCGGAAATTTCATACGTCAATTGCCTGTATAAACTTTTCCGTATCTGCTTCAAGTTCCCACTTGGAGCCCTCAAGCATGTCAGGGCTTGCGGCGACCCTACTTCGTGGGCCGATCGGGGCCTCAGCAATTTCCCTATTCCGATTAGTTATGGACCCCGTTCCCACGAAATGCCACAGAACCATCGCGAAAGAAAGAAAGAGGGGAAAAAAAGGAAAAGAACGCCGTTAGGTACGGCGATTAAACCCCAGCATAGCACTTACCCACTAGCAATCGCGAAAAGATAAGCTGGAATAGGTACCTTCTGGTGGAATTTATAAACCTTGTTGCTAGATTCCGAAGACGATGAAGAGCCATCTCTAACTGGTACACCGCTAGCAATGACAGGAAGTGGTGACGAGATATTGAAATCAATGACAGCCTTGACATCTGGGGTGTCCTGGCATGGGAATATAGATCTGGCATGAATCGCCTGACATTGGGTAACTAAGAGTGTAGAAGGTGTAGATAGTTAGAGCGTGCAACTGATATAGCCCATTTTACTGAAAACAAACCATTTCCTCGCGAGAATAGAAGATGCTCACACATATAGGGGTGCTTTTGGGTAGATGTCTGGGCTGGCGTGAGCCATTGCAAGGCGGTGCAACTCTCAGTTGTCTCAACGGCGATATCGATATCGACTGTTTTGCCCATAGCGACGCCCTCAGCCAAGGGTATTTTCAACGCACTGCCATAGGGCTCTTGTCGAGGCGACAGCCCAAATTTGTTCTGCGCGCCGTCAACTTTGACATCACGAATATTAAGGAAGCTAGAGTCTAATATGACTTCACGGCCCTCGCCATTTGAGTGATTTTAGTTGATGGATGACATTCCCCGGTGAGTTGCTGCTTATCGAAGAGGATATTGAATGACTGTCGTATGAGTAGTACGAAAGGCACTGTAGTTGGACAGGGTATTGGGATCCCTTAGAGGGTTGATAGTTGCGTCCATGGTGTATTCTCTGCGGATCAAAGCGACTTGAAACTGGACTTGGGATCTGTGAAGCTTGCGAAGACGGCGCAATGGCTGGTGAAAAAAATGCTTTGATAGGTTGAATCAGTGAGCGGCAAACCGCCGCCATCAGGCATCGCCGATGCTACCAAGTATTGTGGCGGACATATTACTTGCGAAAACAGAATTTTCCCAGCCCCCCCTGAAAATTAGTAGCAAAACACCACCAAAAAATCAAACAATCCATGTTTCTCTAGAATCATTCAATATCATTCAATACGCGTCTTTTTCAATCAAATATCATTCAATACGCGTCTTTTTCAATCAAATATCATTCAAATACGCGTCTTTCTTACCTTTATCATCAAATCCACATATATCAATCAACCCTTTTTTCAATATGCCTCACAACGCGCGCTGTTCTGCTGCTTTGCAAGCCCATACAAAGACTCCTACCCTATGCCTCAGTCTCCCCAAACTACCTGTTCCAGAAGTTCCGGATAATGGAGAGGATCTGGTCAATGATGAGATGAAGAGCAGATGAGTGAGAAGAATATAGAGACTAGACTGACTGTGTGACCGTGTCTGGAACCAGGACCAGAATATTTGATGATCTCATTACCAATTCAACTGATTCCATTACACAGTTTTAACATTAGATAGTAGTCTCATACTGTTTCAGTGAGACTTACTGTCTACTCTTGTCACATTTTTCAAATGAGATTATGATTTTCACTTCTCAATTTAAATTATTTTTATTACTTTAAATAACTTTAAATCTCATTTAAGTGTTATTAAAAAGCATTACTTTTTAAAAAATTAAAAATAGTCTAAAAAAAATCTTAAAATGTCTAAAAATAGTCACTTTATACTAAGAATAAAACTAAATGAAATTAAATGAGATTACTTTCTTATTTTTTCTAAGTTATAATCTTATTTTGAAATCTGATATATAGTTACTTTACATGTTTTTTTAATAATTAGTCTTAGCAGAATTCATATCAAGAAATGTATGAGATCAGATTAAATAAAATTAAATGTGAAATTTATAATTCTGATAATTAGTTTAATAGAAACTCAGTCTGAGAATTCTATATCTGTGAATCTCTATTTCTGAACCTGACATCTCATACAGATTATATAAACAGATGATTATTAATAAGATAAAGAATAAGAAAGATGATAAAATAATTAATAAGTAGAAAGAAGAAGAAGAATTAAAAGAATGAATTTATTACTTCTATAATTAATTCTTCTATACAGATCTTTTAAATATCAGTGATTATATTCTCTTCTTCAGCTCTGACAGCTTTAACTTCATTTAATATAATATTCTCAAGTGAGATAATCAATATAATGATAATGAAATATATAATAAAAGAAATAAAAGAACTAAATTTATAATCTCATTATTATTCACATTCAGATTTACTGTTGAAATCTTTTATTAAATTCTTTATTAAAATCTTTCATTAAATTCTTCATTAAAATCTTTTATTAAATTTACTGTTGAAATCTTTCATTGAATTCTTTATTGAAATTTTTCATTGAATTCATTATTAAATGTTTTATTAAATTCACTGTTAAAATCTTTAATCAAATTCTCTGTTAAAATCTTTTATTAAAGTCACTGTTGAAATCTTTCATTGAATTCACTGTTGAATCTTTCATTGAATCTGCTGTTGAAATCTTTTATTAAATTCATCTTCAATTCAAAGCAGTTCAATATCTCAATTTGATGAATACTTCAATTGATTAACAAGGAAACAGTTGCTTGATATGAATATTGACAAGAGTATATTTCAAATTATAAAAGATAAGTTAAAAAGTTCATTATAACAGATTAAATTACAGAAATTCAAATCATCTCTATTAACTGCTGATAGTGATAAGAGTAGATCTCATACTACTTTCATCTCTAAATCTGTATTATAATTAAATGAATTGCAATTTGAATCTTTCTAGTTATTATAATACTATTCTATATAAGCAGATCTGAAATATTCTTTTATATCTTTTTCTCTTATAAAGTTCTCAACTGTATGATGTAAAAAAGCTTTAAAATCTTTAAATCTTCTAATTCATTTCTTCAATGTGCGAAAAGACTTCTCTATAAAATTGTAGTCAGATGAATATAATAATAAGAATAATAGTTTAATATCTGTATCTCTGCAAAGATTCTTCAATTCTTGAAATTAATAAGTATTGCAATTAGTTATCACTAAGTAGTGATAACTTCAATGATATTTAAGCAGTATCTGAATGTATACAAACTTATTAAATTACTCTGTATTATAGAATCTCTGATATACATTATAATTAAAATATCTATTAATAGTTATTACAAGTAAGATTAATTATCTTCAAGATTATTTACAGAGTCTTTTAATATAATAATAAAATTCTCTGCTTGATTATTTATATCATTGATTCACTGTATATATATTCACAGTACTTTTATTTAAAAAGATCAGTTAATTAGAGAGATACTGAGTAAGTTAAATATATTATTCAGCTCAAAGTTCTTGATTATATTAAGTAACTATGAGTTCAGTCTATATTATAAAACTAATGAATTAGTAGATGCTATATATTAAGTAATATTTAATTATAATATTAATTATCTTCTTTTATATTAAATTCAGTTTCTTCAACAATCTATATATTAACTGCAGATGAATATTAATATTAAATTTATTCTTTATAAAGTAGACAGCCTTATTATAATATATAG